CCCCCCGCCACTCGACACCCAACCACCTGAAAATCACTCCCGACCCCCCCCTCCAAGACCCCGTACGCACGGCCAGAAGCCCATACGTACGGCACGTACACATAGCAGGGGTCCCGTACGTCCTGTTGTACGGGAGTACGTACGGGTCGTATACGTACGGACGTCCACACAACTCTCAGGACACAGCGACCGATACCTAGACGAGCATCACGCGTGGATGATGAGACCACCGGGGGCAAGGGGTTCGAGATGATGCGAGGGAGACGTCGCACGGACACCCTCTTAGCGACGTCAGAGAGGGAGATGAGACTGGATGGCCTCACGGTGGTTGACGACGATCAGATTGACGTCGCTGCAGAGGAGGCTGACGGAGAGGAGGACCTGTCGATACACGCGGCACACAGCGCAACCTTGGAGCATGGCGAGCAGCGGACCACGAGGCCCCCCATACGCGCTGGACGCCATTGACTTTTTTGTGATTGTAAGTGGTCAGCGGCACGACCGCATCGTGTAGTTTTGAGACGTTCCTTTATGGTGTGTCACTCTCGGATGGTTTTTTTTTGTTATTAGGCAGTGCATGTTTTTCTTCTTTCATGCAGATGGTTCATTGTGAAACCTTTCTGGGTGCACACGCGTTTTGACCTTTCATATTTCGTATGGTACGCTTACTTCGACAGTACAGTTTGTTATCGTCCATGATGTTTTATATGGCATAACTCTATGTGCTAACTGTGTGCAGCCGTATGTTTTTCTTGTATCATATGTGTGCATTTTTCCTTTCCCTTTTTTTTTGTTGTTTCTTCTTTTGTGCAGGTGACCGATGTTTTTTGTTTTTCACCTCTAGGCTGCTACTCCCATCAAACCTCGCGCCCGCCTTAAGTTTAGGCGGGCACGAGCCTTGCTGGGGGTAGCTCGACCCAAACACCACCCAACCCAAACCACACCCCACACCACCCCACCCCACCCAACCCCAAACCGCACCCCGAACCGCACCCCGAAACCCACCCCCAACCCCACTCTAGATGTGTATAAGAGACAGAGACATGATGGAGGCCGAGCCGTGGTCCGATCCGGACGACCTGGCCGTGGATTCAGAGCCTGGATGTTCTGATGACGATGACGACGACACTCCTCTCATCCAGATTCCGCGTCCTCGCACACGTGCGTCCACGGCGGCCGTTGCACCGTCTCTTGCAGCACGCCTTCCTTCGAGTGCTCCAGACGTCTCACTGCGAGGTCCGGCGGACCGTGTTGAGAGCACGACGGCACACCCTTCGACCGATCGTCGCAGACATGGTGAGCAGGGGACTCGTGAGCGCGTTGATGAGGGCGACGACGGCGGCGACGGCGACGACAAGAAGGGATATGAGGGCAGCAGTGAGGATGAGGATGATCCCTGTTATTCCCCGACGCGCGGACATGGTGACGACGACGAGGACGAGGGCGGCGACGGTGGACAGCCTGTGGGTGGTTTCCGGAAGTCCGAGAGACAGCGTGGCGACTGATGCAGTGGTGCAGGCAGGGGAGGCAACGGGCTGGGTGTTGGGTGTGCAGGGCACACAGGTGGTGCAGGGCGTGCTGGCAGAGGACAAGTGAGGTGAGAGTCTGCATCGTCCACTCGCACTGTGCATTGGGTTGATGAGGGGAGGCCTGCTGAGGCGGTTGTGGTTGCTCCCTCCCCTACAGAGGTTGCTCCGTCCCCTGCAAAGTTCGCAGCGGCGTCTGCGGAGGGCGCAGGCGGGTTTGAAGGTGTTGGTGACGAGAGTGTACAGGTTGGGAGGCCATCTGCACAGTTGGGTGTCAGTTTCAGCGACAACATTTTTGATGTTTCGCTAGGGTTTCCTCCGACATCAGCAGGGGAGCGTGTTGGTGCCGATGAGCCCGCCAGTCAGATACTTCGTGGTATACCTTCATGCAGCATGGGCGACATCAGTAGTAGCATGTTGCAAGAGGCAGCAGAGGGGACACCGGGTTGGTCGGGGCAGCACGAGCGTGCAGCTAGGGATGATGGGGAGTGTCGACCTGTGCAGGAGAGGGTGACAGAGTCAGAGCAGGATAGGATCAACCGCGAGGAGAGGAGGAGGGCGCAGGGGTTGGCTAGCTGCTGCGAGATGACGCAGAGTATTGCATCGAGGGCACGTGTAGCACGGATGCTCGAGACGAGCGTTGCGGGAGGCGATGCACAGGTTGAGTGCAGCGGTGCGGGCGGAAGGGATGCAGGCGAGAGACCTGCGTCACCAGCGCCTGCGCACGTATATTGTGGGAGGATGTGAGGGCAGTGACAACGCAGCGGCCGTCACAGCATCAGTCGTTTGGGAGTCTGGCACAGACGATTTGAAAATGTCTTATGGCCAGCGGAGGAGGGTTTCTGTGTACGATCTTCTTCGACCACAGGGAGGGGTTGAGGCGGCGCCACAGGGGGAGATTCATGCTCCGGATATTGCGCACGCGTCCGCAGGCGGCACAGGTCGTGGGGATGGTGTCACCGGTGTGGTGCCGCAGAGGAGGAGGAAGGACATTGTGGACGACGATGATGCATAGTTCCACCATTAGTCTTCTTTCATCCTCTGTTTCGTACTAGTGTACAATATATTTAGTGCTTCGGACGGGGCCTTGTGTTCGTAGGAGTGGTCTGTGTAGGTCGTCATGACTGCATTTGTATTTGTATAGGTGGTTAGACTATTGTATACTATTTCCATGCACGGGTGCAGTTTGTTTTTGTTTCTCGTTTTATTTTTTCATTGATGTTTCAGAGGATTGCACTTTTTTTGAGTATTTCTTCACACAAGGGCTCAGCAGGTGCAGTGCTCACAGTTTCATTTTTTGTTTCTCCTTTTATTTTTGTATCGATGTTTCAGACGATTCCACAGTTTTTTCGCACACCATTTGACTGAGTCCAGTGTGCATGTGTCTTTTATTGTTGTGTGTGTACGGTGCAGCTGTTTCGTCGTGTTCTTTCGTTAGCCTGTAATGTTATACTTTCAAAACTTGTGCAATGATTGTTTCTTGCAGATGATGGAGAATGACTCAATGGTTTTCAAAAATTGTATTTAAATGTTGTTGTTCGAACTCATGAACTTCATTCAGTCTTGTACTTGTTTCGTCGTGTGTGTAGGTCACCTCTGTTGCATTTGTCTGTAACCCCGACAGAACCCTCCCTTACCCCCAAACACGACCTTGGCATGGCCTTCCCGAGCCCCACCCCCCCTCGACCCGCAAATGAGGCCTCCTCCCTCCAACATCCCCCCACCCCGCTCCCCCACACGAGAG